GTTTATTAAAATCTTTAATTGTGGGATTTCTCGAGTAATTCACTCACATAAATTGTGTAAATTGTGTGCGGTTTAGATATTTAAGAGAGGGGGAGGAAGTGGTTCATTGATTTCTTCGAGTGTAGTTTATATTTATTCCACAAAATAATGTACCAGTGCAGGGTATATTAAATTAATAAATTAAGGATATTATATTAGTTTAAATGGTTATAAAAATCCTTAATCAAATTAGAAATCCTTCCTATTCAAAGCATTATGAAACTGGTTTGATTAAAAAATGTCATTTGACGTATCAATGTAATTTTGATAGCTAAGGTAAAATATAAATAGAAATGTTGAAATCAGAATGAGTTTGTAAACGTATGTTCAAAATTTATCTACCAAATTTGGAACAAAATATGTTTTGAATACTTTTCTTAGATTCTATGTAACTTTATCATCATTATGAAGGGAACTATCCAGCTAGTTTACGGGAGATAGTTAGTTCTTCTGTTGAAATAAACTCCAATGATTCATCAGTAGAAATACCGAAGAACCTAGCAGGACTAGAAATACCTAAGAAAACCCACTTGTCCCTACCAAAATCTTTCCAATTGCATTGTTTATTGCAGGAAAGTATTTCTTACCAAAGGCCGCTTTAATTCTTCAGAAAATTCCTTCATTTTGTGCCAACCTTTACAAAACCATGTTTTGTCTCCTTTTTTGACAGTCGTTTTTCTTTCTTTCTTTCTTTTTTCTTTCTTTCTTTCTTTCTTTCTTTCTTTCTTTCTTTCTTTCTTTCTTTTGGTATGTTGTGCACCATGATATTGCGCGGCTTAACTGGGTCTAAACCAATTAATAAAATTTGACAGAAGTTAATTTATTCAAACATAAACGTATAATGCCAAACATAATTTTAGTTTAACAAAAGTTGTTTTTTAACATCGCGCTGTTATCATAGTTTCAAATTTGTTATTCCATCGAATCAAATTAGTCTTAAAGTCGGTAACAACGCCGGGCTCTGTTGTGCTGTGCTACGCCGTGGGCATGTAAATACTTGTAAAAATATCATATTTTAACTTTCCTTTGTATAACAGCATCATTGTATGAAAACATCAACGGATAAGCTTTCACGGTGCTTAAGGGGGTTTAAAGGAAAATAGCAGTTTCGAAAAGTGAAGATGTCGAAATTGTGACGTTTCTATTCTTCTTGAATTAATTGGTCCGTAAATTTTTGTTTGGCGAGATGCGTACTCAAATCCCTGCATTTTGATTATATTTGATAATGATTTACAAGTTTTGGAAACAGGATAGTTTTTATTATTTTGTTCGAGTATTGAAACTTGGCTACACGACTTCATATGATAGTATCTTCTCTTTTTTACATGCTAAAAATAAACAATTAAGGTAATTGACTATTGAGTTAAAGTTATATGTGATATTACCCCGAGGATCCTTTTTTGCGTACATTTTCCCCACTTCTATTTTTTGGCTGTATGCTCTGAAACAAAGATTTGAACCTTTAATGACTATTGCGGGACATCCCCCTTTTTAACGTATAATTAAACATCTAAACGATTTGCGTCTGATATCTTAAATACTGAAACATACTTGTAAAATATTCATTACTTAATAAAGTGTGAAAACTATTTGCTTTATATATTAAGAAAGAAAAAAAACCTTGGCGGATTACTTGATTTATGAAATAGGATTATGTAATAACATAAGAATGTTCTCATCAGGCGACACAGAGGAATTTATTTGATCTTTAAAAATGTTAAAAAAAGGAGAAGGCTTGTTTCAATAATGAATAAACCCAGTTGTTATATGTATTTGACATGTGACTAAGTTTATTCATTGTACAGAATGTGAAAGGAAAAAAAAAAAAAACCCGGCGCATATTTTGTTGTCATATGTACAACGTCATAGATACCTTGAAGTATTTAACATTTTTCACAGTTTGAACAAATCTTTATAGACCGTATTATCTAAAAACGGTGCCAAAATTCAGTTAAGCGAAATTGTGAATTGCTTGAAAATTATCAACGTGTTCGAGTGCTTTGTCGCCTGATAAGAAACTGTTCACAGTTCATAGGTAAATTGTAATCACGCGAAGATTGTCCGTATATATCATATTTGCATATGAACGGAAAAGAAATGGTTTTAAGGGGCAGAATATTTAAATTGTTTTAAATTTAGAAACGTTTTCATTGGGTATTAAATGGAAATATAAACACGGAGCTTTATTCTGTATTATAAGTCTCTGATATAAAGAACTATTTTGCGGGAGAGTTTATCATACTTTAACCCGTTTACCCATTTTGTCATGGCACCTTACAAATTCCTACGCAATGGCCCCCTTTGCCTCTCTACACAGAGTAACAAAGCAAACAAGTAGAGATTTTGATGCTAAAGCATCAAGTCGCCGGATAGAAATATGATTGTATTATCATAAATAAAAGAAAATATCAGTTTAATAGAGTGTATAAAGAAAAGAGGAACAATAAGTTGAGTAATGTTTATTCATAAACACGTTTTCATTTACTTGCCACAATTATATCTTTCTTGATGAGAGTTTTATGCAAAAATTTTATCTTATGTTATAATAAAACATCATATTTGAATCAAACTTGCTTAGCAATTTTGTCAAGAAACTGTTATCATTATTAAATAAGCAAGTATTGTTTGGCAATATTTACCCGAGACTCAATAATTTTCGGGAGCTGTTTCGTTTGTTTACATAACTTATTACGATTAATGTAAACGATTTTATTATAAGTATAATTACATATATAATTATATCAATTAATACTGCTCGATGGCCTAGTGGTAAGTATCACGAAGTTGTAACCTACATGTAGTTGGCGCAAGTGCGAATCTCGGACAAATCCTGTGTGTAGTTTTCATAAATAGATTTTTATTATATCTTTCAACTTTATGAAACATATATAATAAGCATATAAGTTGATAAATCGTGTGTTTCATTTCTAGCACTTTTTTATTTCATAATTTTGATAAACGGTCAAGTTTTGCAAAAAACAAAAAGTATTATAAAAGAAAACATAAAAAAATCACTTTATCGAACCTACAATCTTCAATTTGAAACTAACTTAAAATCTAACACCTTGTCATCGAGGCTTGTAAAGCAATTGATATGATTATAATTCTACTTGTAATTCTACTTTATACATATACCGTTGTACGTATGGTATTCTTCAGCATCCGATAATTACCGACAAATTATTACCGATCATCGAATATTTGCAAAGTGGCTATGAAAATATATATGCTTAATTTATTATTATTGTATAAAACAATGCAATTCTGCTGTAAAAGTGGTGTCTGCATAAACAAATTATTCTTATGCAATATCGAAAAAATATATTATTTAGCTGAAATCAATATCCCTGTCGTATTAACCTGTCAATTACATACTGATTACACGGTCGATGCACACAGTATATTAATCTTCGGTAAGTTCCGTGAGAAGTACGCTATACGATAGAATTTAATTTAATTTGTATGTACTCAGCGTTATAGCGCAATGGGGTAGATCACGAGTTTATAATCTAAGTGCCAAACGTGTTTTAAGTTCGAGGCCGCGTTGGGCCATGTTTTTTTCTTATTAATACTTTAACATTATTGAATCTATAATTATATGATTAATATATGTTGTTCGTTTTTTTATGTTTTACTTAATTTTGTTATGTATATACTCTTTTTAAATAACATGTTTTTTAAGAATTCATATTTAAAATTAAAACGGATTAAAATCAATAAATGTCTTTTCAATGCCGTAAAACACACTACAAATCTGTTCCATTAAAATACACTGCAAAAATAAAGAAAGAGTACTAAAACAATGGCAACAGTGAGGATCGAACCACAGACCTCTCATTTATCAGGCATTCTCTTTACCGACTGTCCTATTGTGAATTAACGAAAACCTTCACATAAAGTTGGCGTGACTTTCAATCCATGACTTATATACTCCACATTAATTCTCGTAAACTACACGGACCTAACCGAAGTGGGATCGATTATTTAAATGAGTCCTATAATGTATTTATAATTGACAGGTTAATAAAATCAGACTATACATACGATAAAGTTAATGTTTAATTGCTTTCAGTGCGATAAACTATCAACAAAAAGTAGGTTTATTAGTTTTCTCTGTGTATCCAATACGATTCCGACCCCTACTGTCATACCGAGATTTTTCATACAAAATTACTTTGATTTGCACTTTATCAGCTTTATCATTCACATGTTACCTGTATGTCTATCTTGCCAGCCATTTGTTACTATTAATAGATTTCATAACAATAACATACAACGTGTAGCCACGTGATTCTGGGAGAAACTGTTTATAATAAATAAGATAAAAAATGGAATAGGTCTCATAAGATACAAACAACCAGATAATTTAAAAGTGTCATTTCAAATATCATGCATGATTTATTTATCATAAAATAACAACGCTTGACACTTTAAAAAAAGTAAAAGCATCCCTAAATTCAATGACTGGTCCATAGGGATACGTCATTAATTCATTTTATAAATATTGTAATGTTGCTTTTTACGATGTCGGTATTTGAATATTTCATTTCATTTAGCAACATTATTGTATGTTTGAATTTTTGAGATTACTGAAAACAATAGAAGTGTTTAATTGTTCAGTAATTGTTATGCTTTTATTTACAGAAATTAATGCCTTCTCCTACCATAGGTATAATATTAAACTGTTACAAATATAGTCGCCGGTTTCTACCGGCGACTAATGAAAGCACTGTGAGGAGTTTGGGCACCTTAAACATCCGATACCGACATTTATTTTTGCCGATACATTTCTGACAATAATTCTTATATATGTACACGATGTTTTTTTAATTACATTGTTGTAGCAGCAGAAATGTGAAAATTTGAGTATAACTAAAATTCCATTTTTTTTAATTGAGGCTAAGGGAGTACTCGTATCATCCCATGTATATTATAATTTGTACATATTTTGTCACCTTCAGGCACCATTGCTGTGAGCGAAGCGGGGCTCGTATTCAACCAAACAAATGGCAGACGTAAAGGGGAGGTAATGCAAAACTTAAGTTGCCGCTTTGTACAAAACAAGAATCATGAGACTAGAAATCCTGATAATCGTGAACACCATAATAAAAGGGATGGCGTTGTTGAAAATCCCGACAGCATGTACAAGTAAGTATTTCACCGTATAACCAACATCCGGTCATTTCTATGACGTTTTATGACGTTATGTATGACGTGAAAAGCACGAAATACCAAATGGAGTATAATTTGCAGATGCATATGCCAGTCATTTGCTTTGTAGCACATTTTCACAATATCCGTTACAATTTTTCGGTTCAATGTTAATAATTATTTGTCTGTGGTTGAAATAACTGTGGCATACCGCCTGTGGTTGAAATATTTTTATCATACCTAGTATCTAATAGCATCATAAAAATTGTCACTGAAACCCAGGCAAGAGACCATAGTGTAATTTGAACGTTTATGTTTTATAAATACATTTTTGGAGGAGAGAAAAACAGGGCAAAATTTTAAGAAAACTTTTCCTGGGGATTTTTAATTACTTTATTTTTTTCTTTTGGAAAGTAATTAAATTCTAACAAAAAAATTTTAAATTTTTAAAGAAAACTGACAAAAAATTGTGCTTAATTTTATAAAAGTTATTATACCCTTTATTAGGCCTTTAATTATTCTGCCCCTGGGAATAAAGTATAATTTTGGGCGTTGAAAATTTTTTTCTCCGGCTTTTAAAAAAGAAACTGTCTTTGGGTTTTAATGTTTTAATTTACGAACCGGCAGAGGAAATAAAAATGTAGAACTTTTTTCTCATGATATTATTATATACGGGATATTTATACGGAAAACACCGAATTCCAACGTATGGAATGGATACATATTATATCATATAATAATTGCCTCAACGGTTCGCAAATAAACACCACCCAGGTGCTAATCGCCCAGTCTTTTGCAAGACCACGATTTCTATGTATACAAGGGAATATCTTTTATTTAAAATATTTAATGACAAGCAAGGAGAGCAGGTTTAATATTTTTGGTTGACTTAACTTACTGGCGTTAACAATAATACGTGTATTATCCGTGCTTATTTACTCGGGAATCAATATGTTTACTGTACCCACAAAGATAACAAAACATATATTTATACTGTTTGTTAGTTTTAAACAAGGCAGTGTTGTAGAATATACTACTTGCTTGAAATAAACAAATATGACATTAACCTGTTACCTTTTTTCTGTAAAAAGTCGTGTTTGTTTTTAAACAACTGTAAAATGTAAACGATGATTGTTTATATTTTTTTCTTCTATTAACCCGGTTACCTAATTTTTAATTTCCACTCTCCTGAAGTTGTAAATTGGGAGGAATTGTACTGTTTTGAATGCAGTCGTGTTTAAGAGATGTTAATTATAAAATATTGAAACCTCGAGTAACCTGACAGTCTTGCCATATACACCATGATAGCACAGACCTAATGTTATTGCAGTTTACAATAATGGTTATATGAACCTTAATGCCAACAAAAAAAATACTAAAAAATAAATAAAATAAAATAAAAAATAATATTGATAAAATTAAATAATGATAATAATGATAATGATAATAATAATAATAATAATAATAATAATAATAATAATAATAATAATAATAATAATAATAATAATAATAATAATAGTAATAATAATAATAATAATAATAATAATTATAATAATGATAATAATAATAATAATAATAATAATGGAACATACTCATTTAAAAAAGGTGACGCATCAAAATGTTTGAAGACGCCTTTGAGATCTTCTTTAAAATATAAATTTTACTAAATACTCCCTTGTAATAATATTAAATTGCTGTTGCATTTTATTAAATCTATGAGTAATCTATGAATAAGCAAATATGTGTGTTTTTAATGAGAACCTAATAAATTGCATATTACAACAGGCAAGAGTAAAGTACAAAGAATACAAAAAATAACAAAGTAATGTAATGTGGCTGATAAACTTTAAAATAACTAACTGCAACCAAAAGTTAATGAATAAAAAGTTGTCGCACAGAAAACTTTAACAAGCATTTCTCACATCTGGTAAAGTAATAATATAAACGGTGTAACTATAAACGATAAACTATAAACAGTTTTAAAACCATTTTTAAACACTCAAAGGGTAACAGTTTAAATTAAGATGTTTGAGATTAGACCGAAAATTACTTGAATTTAGAGACCGGAGTGAAATTAGTTGTTCAATTAGCCAAACATTTACGAGTACTTTGACAAACATACTGTAACGTAGTCATTTTGATTTTGTTTCTATTATCACGGACACCGTTCGTAAGAATAACTTCTCGTAATTTCTTATAACCGCAAGCGAGGGGGGACTATTTAATTTTGCGGGTGTGAAAAAAGTTTAAATTATTCCGTATGATTTAGTTCTTTCGTCAAATTGAGGGAAGAAGTCAAGTCTCAATTTCACATCATCGGCCAATATCAAAGGGTTGTGATATTTGTCCACATTGAGGCGATACATGGTAAATTCATGTTACAAATTAGATTCAAATCCAAATAAACTTTTGGAGCGTTAAACACGAAATCTCCGCCCATTTGAACGCGGTTAACCACTTTTGGTAGACAGCCTGTACTTGTAATTCAGTATGACCTCGTAAATTGAAGTCTGTATCTATATATGTGTGTATATCACTGACTATGAAAAGATTAAATGAATACAAAAATATAACTTTTTTGCGCGTTTTAATTAACGAAAAAGATTTATATATAAATTATAAAACACCTATGGCTATTTGCCAATTGGTCAAGGCACAATTTTGATCATCATTTAACGAAGTCGAAATGAAAATTTATTAAGATAACTGTTAAAACATAAACCAAGGAAAACATAACAAAAATGTGTGTTATATTTTTATTAATTTTACAATTAAAAAGGACAATTTTTGGCTTCTGGTGAAAAATAACATAACGGAAGACGAACATGAAAATGTTCGTTGCACAATTTATAACAATAATACATCAATAGTGAAAAAAGATGCATATAATGGCGAAAATGATGAACACAATAGCGAAATTGATGTACACAATAGCGAAAATGATGTACACAATAGCAAAAATAAATGTACACAATAGCAAAATGAATGTACACAATAGCGAAATTTGATGTACACAACAGCAAAATTGATGAATACAATAGCAAAATAAATGTACACAATAGCGAAAATAATGTATATAATAGCGAAAATGATGTACACAATAGCAAAATAACTGTACACAATAGCAAACTAAATGTACACAATAGCGAAAAATGATGTATATAATAGCGAAAATGATGTACACAAGTTCACAATAGCGAAAAATGATGAACACAATAGCGAAAATGATTTTTGGATTTTTTTTCCTGTTCTGGATATCACTTTCTTTTTACTTATCTTCCAATATAATCGCATAGATGGAGCAAAATAAAACATTAGTTCATCCAAATCATTCAATGATTGTTACTCGTATACTTTACCATCATTATATATGGCAGTTTTTGAAGTCGAAATATTTCCAGCACAATGTAATGCGTTTGGTTGGTGCTTTGTCCAAAAGGCACCAAAACGATGGGTACAAAATTGCGTCCTTGATATCAGCCAGAAAGTACCCGACCTCGGTTTACCCGTATACTCTTCCATGCACTCCTATGTTATTATATTTCTATATTTTCTCTGTATTAATTATGATACTTACAAAATATATTTTTCTTTAGTGTGAATGAAATAGAAGCAATGTATTATAACATTCTGAAATATGTAATATAATATACTTTCAGACGTAGGACCTATAAACTTCATAGACGAAGCAATGCCAAGAATTGGACACCTACCGGAAGGGGTCAGTGTGGTTTATGACGTCAAAAGTCACGTGCATGCTCTCCAGTTTTTACCGGAAATGGATGAAATAAAGTTTCCAACCACCGCCATATTTAAATCTTGCCAGTATTTACCAGAAGAATTTTCAGTATTTTTTATTTTAAAACATGGCCAATCGTACTTAAAAAAAGAATGTGTATTCTCAATATCGACTCCGCATAGAACATATGTGTCTGTGTGCATGACAAGTAAAAAGATAATTTTTACATATAACAACAAAAAATCTAAATTTAGAAACGCAATACTGACTGACAGCAAATGGCATACAGTCGGCTTTAGTGTCACCGGAAGTCATGTAACAATGACAACCGACTGTCTACATAGAAGAAAGCATAAGTTGAGAAGAAATTTCCCAAGCTTTCTTGAAATTCAGAATTCTGTGATAAGAATAGCAAAGTGTGAATCGTGCAACTCAGCATTTCAGGTAAGGCTTTTTATTCCCAAGACATTACAATTTATGTATTATTTTCCTCTTAACAGTCGCAAATGTATATTTTTTTCTATAGCATTATTACTAAAAGTTGTTAAATAGTCTTTACACTTTACCCTATCGCTTTCATTTCTGAAAAAAGCACTCTTCATGTTAGTTGATGAAGTATTATCATGTGAATTCTGCAAATGACTAATTTCAGTTTAAGTTTTCAAAATTTAATTTTATATATTAAGAAGACTTTTGGAATGACCAAATACTGAAATAATTCTTTAATCTTCATCTGGGCCGATTTTAACACGCGATCAAAGCTTTCATTGTTCAACGACTGAAACAAGTGACTTTCACCATAAAATGGACGAGTTGAGCCGTGCGGCAAGGTGATTTACTACGTCCAAATTTGTTTTATATGTTCATCACCCTATAATTAGTTTAGTTAATTGCCCGACATCTTTTGCTATCTCCCCGTATATCGTTACACCAAGGATTTCTTCAAAGGCTTTAATATCTCTTTTATCTTGCAAAAGTCGCTTGCATTATACTTTACTGACATCTACATTTTATGTTTGAATACATTCAAACATTTGCGAAATCGTCTTTGGCATTCAACGCGTGGCTGAATAATTAATATGTATTAACTATACTCGAAATTGATACTTTCAGTTGACAAATGGGCTCTTTGACATGACGGGTCGGAACGACTTATTTTGTAAATTAATTTATGCCCTATCAAAACTGAACTTAAAACCTTCAGTACTTCTTTGCAAGCTAGTCAAAAAGTTCATAAACGCATATCTTCTTTTTTCAATTACTGTCAATATTTGCTATGCAAAGTACTTTTTAAACATTTTTATATAGCTTTGCACATGAATTAATATTATTCATCTAAAAAAAACCACAAAAAACACAACAAAAACTCAAGTGCATTAAGCATAACTCATTTGCCAACGTTTTCTCTGTCTTAATTGAATTCTACTTTGTTGGAACACTTTGTAAAAAATGATATCCTTAAATATTATTTATACACTAAAGCACCACAGGCAAATTACGTAAAATCAGTAGATTTTCGTCGTGCTGAAAACATTTTATTTTTTCAAATTTGAATATTTAAAAAGTAAAAAAGGTGATAGTAATTTATCTGAATATTGGCGATTTGAACTTTAAAACATCAAATTTATAAGCATTTTCACAGAAAATGTGTAAATTGAAAGCATCAATTAATCTCCAACTTCATGTCAAGTCTTCGTCCGTATGTCTTCATACTCATGCAACGAATTTAAGTTAGGTGCATGGCTTATGATGACTTTGTATCCCGTCAGTGTTTTAAAAGATACACTGAGAATGCTGGTTCGAAGATGCGGTTAGATACCTTTTTCTACCGTTTATATAAATTTTTCGAACTTAAAAATACAAATTATACATTTATTGGGAAAAAAAGTTGGTTATGGTGGAATGCGAGATTATTCTTAATGCTTTTTGTTTATTCTAAATTTCAGTGTTTTCATTAATGTTATAAAGATGATTATTGAATTTAGATAATTAAGAGAAATATGTCGTTTTTCAGATTCCTCGAACGAGAATGTGTATATCTTTTACAGCTTAATTAAGGGGCAATTTGTTCAAGTTTCAACGTATTGCATATAATTACTGTAACACCCAGTTATTACTCGCAAAAGTTAATCGAGTGTGCCTAAATAGCCACATTTGATTGATAGCTTGTGGCTTTGAGAAAAAATGTGGACAGAAAAACTTTCGTGTAACTATACATCACAATGATAGTTTTAATTGGTACCTATGTTTCTGTAATTGATATATAACTCAGAGGAACTGTCTGTTTTGATGTAGCGCTACATAAATCCGAAATGGACACCGTTGACTTTTCGGGTTTTTGGGGGTCTGCCGCGGAAATTTATAGACTCTCATAATAGATTTTAAGTACATTTTGCGAAAACCACAACAGCATTTTAGAAAAGAATACTATATTCAGTAAAGTATTAATTATGATATCCTATTCCAATGGTAGACAGAAAAGATTGGAAGACGTCCATGTAGGTTAATCTGTTTTAGACGGACCTAACACGTCTTGCTTGCATGTTTTTGTGCTTTGGCTTTTCAAAACTATGATAGCTATTTGACCATGTAATCTGATTTAACCAACTTTGATCATCCTTCACTTTTGGTATTTTTGCCGGTGTTGCAATAGTAGCCCATTTTAAAGGAAGGAGACAAAAAGAAAACTCTGACATACTCTTACATCTTTTAACATTATACCAACACAACATAAAAACTTTTAATTTGTTCTATATATCATTCCAGAAGAAGATTTTAATTAATTTTACCTCGAAAGCTTTTTTATCCTGCTACTGTCTATATCATCAGTTGGATAAAGCCCTGCCGGATAAATTTATCTATCTCCAGTCTAAAGCTCGCCAAGATACACTTTCTCGCTCACCGGATAAACCTTCTCCATCCCGACATCAACCATGTATTCTCTATATTTTTTTGTTTGTTCTGTCATATTTTCCGAAACGTTCTCATAGGAAATTTTTGCTTTCTGGCCATTAGTAAAGTTAAAGTGATGCAGGATTTTGTATAAAAGACAAAATACTATTTTGTGCACATTTTGCTTCTATGAACAAATATATCACGTTCAATGCTTCTTTTTTCGCGTGATAAGCATAACAATTATTTTTGTTCATTATTAAAACATTATACAAAATAAGTTTGCCTCCAGAAGGAAAATTTTATTCGAAATTACACCTTCTGTTAACGAACTGCGGATAAAAACTTTGTTATGATTGTTTACCTTTTGAAATTATTCATTCACAGTTAAAGCATATTAACAAAATTGTACATAATTTTATGTAATTTTAAGTGAAAGCATGAATAATTCTGGACCATCTGTAATTAATCAATCAATCACGAAATTGATATTTTATTGATTACAGGGCTTACTGAAAGATGTCATATTTGTCCCCGGTGCTGATGTTGCAAGAAGGACCTGCCCTCCAAAAACTCCCAGAAACGCTTATATGGATAACCATATCCCGACTGACCCAGGTAAAAATAGCCTTTAAATACTTTAAAGGGACTCCACTGAATTTCTTTTTCATGACAAACAAGAATTTCTTTAAACCATTCAATTATGGTCTTTATCAATGTGTGCAAAATTTCAAATCAAAATTCGTTGTCTTCGTTTTTCCAGAATTTGTCATTTTATCATGCAAAATAAATTAAAATGAAAAAGCGTTTGGACGCTTTTTACTCTAATTGGTATAAGAAGTGAACTAAATATAGATTTTCTATTTAATTCTAATAAAAAAAAATCCATTATCTTTTTCATATTACATGTATTATGTTATCAGTACCCTAGTAAGTCCATGTAAAAATTTCAAATTTTATGTTATTAGGTTTTTGGACCATAGTTGACGTTCTTTTTTAATGTCCTTGAAATTTTCAATGACCCTGAACCCGCATTAGAACACTGCGATTTTTATGTTTCTTTGGTGTAAGCTTAGTTTGACAATAATTTTTGAAAAATGGCGAAGGAGTTGAGTATATTCTACCACGGATATTCTACTGTACAATTTATTCAATAATAATTTTGACCAAACTGAAAGAACCGTCGACCGTAATAATTGTATTTTCGCAGCACGTCGGCGGTGTTCATGTCAATGCGCCTATCACAAATTAGGCTCTGGTTCATTGACAGGGTTGGACTATAAGATTTCTTAATATTTATCATTTTCACTGAGCTGTTATTGTTATTTTCAAATATTACATATGCTCGTTTTGTTCTTTACAGACACCCATATTTCTAGTTATTCCTCTGTTGGTCCGGATTGGGCCGGATGTAAATGGATGGATGTTGGTAACTTAGCGTTTGACGTATACTCGAGGTCGATCAAAGTGTGTGTAAACGGCATTTGGAAACACGTATCCACTGATATGCCAGGTTTGAAACTATAATATTCGTTTATAAAAATTATCTTACTTACTTTAAGAGAGTATATGGCCTGGTTATATGGCAAAAGAATGCTTCTATGCATTCTATGTCATTCTTTTAATTACTATGTGCCTGCTTTAATGTATGGCATTTTATTATATAGTAGACTCCCTGTATCTTATCTATCTTTTTATCTATTGTTATTATTTTATTATTATTATTATTATTTATAATTTAGACCGCATTATAAATAAGGCGGTACAATCTGTGCATGTCTTAATGTGTTACCTTCTATAAATAAAGTTATTATCAGTATTATTATTATCATAATTATAATTATTATTATTATTTTATTATTATTATTATTATTATTATAATCATTGTTATAATCATTATTATAATCATTATTATTATTATTACATTACATCAGAGTCTTTTAAATAGAATACCCTGATTACATGTCTGCTTTCATATCTATCGCTGATGGTTTTTTGTCCTCTTGCAGTAGAAAAACCCGCTTATAGACAGCTAGATTTTCTCCAAGTGCATCAAGACATCATAACGCCGTCTGCTTCTATAGACATTGAACTATTCCATATGCCAGGAGAAGGTCTCTTCGCTGTTTTTGCAAATTCAAACCCCGTAGCAAGCAGAGCACGTGGCGTTTCCGGTTTATATAAATGGACGGAGAAGAACTTCCGGTTGTATCAGAGATTGCCATCAATATCGGCTCAGTGTTGGCGTCATTTCACTATAGGAGAAAATGTAAGGGGCTGGTTTGATTGGCTGATTAAGTCACATGATTTAGATAGATGAATTCGATACTTTGCATAATGCAATTCTAAAAAATGTTTAATGTCTAACAAATCCGATGGAAAAGAATGGGATATTTTGCAGGTTGAAATTAAAGGTCCGAGTCGCATAGATTTGACCTGATAAATGTTTAATTGCAATATAGTATCCAGATATAAAGAAAAAAGAAAAACAAATTATGTTTGGCGTCCGCCCCGGAGCGCGACGCTCTTTATTAAATGAATTAAGATTTTGTGTTGTTTTACTTATATAAAATCAGATTTTTAAAAGAATTTAAATATGGATATCATATTGCATGAATAAAAAGATAAAATAAATATATAAAACATTAAATATCTTTCAAATCAATGCGACCAGCATCTTTGGTTGAAAAATGGGTTTTTTAAAAAAAAAAATAAGTATATAGTATTGATTGCATGTTTTTATATCCTAGATATTGCAAAATCATTTCTCAATGATTTTAATCAACAAATTTGTTTATTTTTATGTGATAAACATAACCTTTGCATAAAAATGGACTAATTATCTATTATTTATACCAGTTTTATCTTGCCGTGGCTAATTATGGAAACGACACAAGTAAGCTTACGAATTCCACGATCTTTAAATGGCATCGACACCGCCGGAAGTTTCGTGAATTTCAAGCGATCGGGACCTACACAGCACGTGATATGGAATACTTCACAATTGATAATGAGCATTACCTAGCCATTGCAAACCATGCTATAGGTATGAGTATGTAAAATAACACTCACATTAATAATACGGGAAAGTCAAAGACCGGTTTCGTGAAGCGGGCCCGGGCTTTGGCTTGCCTTGCTATAGACTACATGTGAATATTTAAAAAGGAAATCACATTAAAAGGATTAAAAGATATTAAGATTTCTATACCCATCAGTTTAAGTGTCATTTCTAGTTGGGCACCGCCATTTTTTATGTAACTCAATGGTAACAGGCGGGGGTATTCCGATAACGGAAAAAAATGCAACTGTTTGGCTCAGAAATAATTGTCGAGGTGTTCCGATTGAAAACGGAAGTGGTTCATGCACCTTTAAAACGAAACATGTTAATCAGTCACCCAAAGCCGGGACCGCGAACGACCATTATCATGATTATGCTGGTTTGATCCAGTTTAATTTAAACATTTACTTGTAACCACACAACGTGGAACATTGATAAGTGGGCATTGTACCTTTTGATTTATATAAAAATCCAGGTAAAATCTCACCCTTTTTGCATATTCACATCATGAAATACCCGATGTTTCTTTCCCGCAAAGTCCTTGGCAGAATAAATGGTTATGCGAAATAATACGGGCTAATCAAACAGAAGTAACGTTTATCTGATTAATTATTAGTTTGAAACATAGCATGACCCGATAAACAATATATGCTTTAATGATAAAAGCTTACTAAAGGGCCATTACTCAGACATAACAGCAAGAGTTAACGAAATTGAGTTGTCACCATCAAAGAATTTAGGTATATGTAATTATCAAATGAACATTGAATATATATTTTGACTCATATTATACAATTTAACCTTCCAGAATAATTTGCTAAATTTCATAGAAGCAAAGAAGGTATAGTTATAGTTATTTTTCATTGCGCTTCCGGAACCGAGTTGTTAAGGTCGTTGGCCCCTCACCCCTGCGAGTTCGAATCCCCACAGGGACTTTTAATTCTTTCATGTGAAGAGCCTAGCTGGCTTACAGAACGTCAAAGGGTCTTCTTAAATGCCCGTTCGTGCCTGAAATAATGCACGGAAGGGCACCTGGGGTGTTTCTCCACCATCAAGCTGGAAAAAGTCACTATATTACCTAAACTGTTCTGGTGCGAGTAATAAACCCCCGCAACAAAACAATCATCGCTCTTTGCTTATCCATGTATGTTTAATATTCAGGACCAAACCAAGAGGTTGACTCCGTTATTCTCAAATGGGACAGGGCGGCAAGGCGGTTTGTGGATTTTCAGACAATTACAACAACCGGCGCATACGACTGGACATACTTTAGAGTGCAGGAGTACCATTTTCTAGCTATTGCTCAGGCGTTTAATGGAAAGACAACTCTGATGGATTCTCTTATATATGTCTTTCAGAAGGACAAGTTCCTTCCCTTTCAAACAATCGAGGTAAGTAATATTGCCCAATTTTCGTTGCATTTAAAAAGAAAGTTTTTATGTATTTACTCTTTGAGGAGTCATCATGTCTTTAAAAAGTGCAGAAACGTGTACGTGCCTTATTAAAATAAACTAATTACTCTTACTACATATTGCAAACTAAATATAAATCTTTCGGAAAGCACGCTTGTTTAAAACTCACTTAAAGAATGTTCAAAACAAGATTTGTATTACCAAATATTTTGTAATTTTGTTCCTTATGTATAGACTATTTTTTTATGTTTTCATTTTCGTCTAGACGAACGGTGCCACCGACTGGGAATTTTTCACCATAGAAGATGAAGCATTTCTCGCTGTTGCAAATGCGTACAATTACGGACCTCAGAACTTCCAAAATCAGGACACCTACCAGACAAACTCGTCTATATATAAACTGGACATAGGAAAACGAGCGTTCTTTAAATATCAGACCTTTGTAACGAACAGGTAAGCTGGCACAAGCATTTTTTACGCACCCGATTTTTTTTCGGAAATCGGTATCTAGTTTCTGCAATATTTTCAAGCTGCCTAAATGGGCGAACTTTGACAGTTTAAGGCGTCTGTAGCCGAGTGGTTACTGTCATTGACTTCAAACCACTTGCCTCTGACCATTGTAGGTACGAACTGCACTAGCCTCTCGAATTCTTCACGTTAGAACGCTATCCAGCTAGCTTACGAACGACGGTGATTCTACTCATGTATCTGTTTGTGCCAGAAATAATGTACAGAGGGGCACTTTAGGTCTTCCTTCACCAGTAAAGCTGGAAAGTTGCCATTTGACCTATACTGTGTTTGGGCCACGTTAAACCAAAAAATAATATGGTTTTACTTTTCAATATTCTGGTATTTTACAAACTGTTGTGTTATAAACATTTCACGCTCCTTTCTCTTTTCACAATTTCTAGACAGTTATTTATTTCCTGCGTTTCATACTAGATCAACATAGTTATTTATTAACTGCGTTTGAACTTTGTTCAACATAGTGATTTATTTACTGCGTTTCATAAAAGTTCAACATAGTTATATATTAAATGCGTTTCATACTAGTTCAACATAGTTATTTATTGAATGCGTTTTGTACTAGTTCAACATAGTTATTTATTTACCGCGTTTCATACTAGTTCAACATAGTTATTTATTTCATGCGATTCAAACTAGTTCAACATAGTTATTAATTTTCTGCGTTTCATACTAAGTCAACATAGTTATTTATTTAGTACTAGTAGCGTTTCATAAAAGTTCAACATAGTTATTTTTTACAGCGTTTCAAACTAGTTCAATATAGTTATTTATTTATTGCGTTTCATACTAGTTCAACATAGTTATTTATTTACTGCGTTTCATACGTCTAGTTCAACATATTTATTTACTGCGTTTCATACTAATTCAACATAGTTATTTATCTACTGCGTTTCCTACTAATTCAACATAGTTATGTTTTTACTGCGTTTCCTACTAATGCAACATAGTTATTTATTTACTGCGTCTCATACTAGTTCAACAGTCTTTCCAAATTGTTTCTGTACTCCAAACAAGTTACCTTTTACATGTGGAATAATCCAAATTGTTTATTTTATGTTACATGTACTAGTATTTTATTCTACACGCGGGAGGTTTAGTTCTATAACACCTCGTAGATTATTCATAGCAGTTAATTCTTTTATAATTTCTAGTGCGATTGACTGGGAACACTTTATGTTAGGAGATGACCACTACCTTGTAGTGTCCAATGCCCAAAATGGCGGATCAGAACAGGAAAGATTGACGACTATATATCGGCTGCAGGTAAGTCTCGTGGATTTAGAAGTCGTTTATATACTTGTAGTTCACATCTTACGAGATATAACCAATGTACTTTTAGCGATTGCATCACGTGATGTTCTAATAGAAATCATTATTGGATCTATTCTTATCAGGTTAGCCTCGTTTTCATCTAGCTTGAGTCCATAAGTGCCTTCCTAGATACTTGTTTGATTCCGGGACAACACGGATTTGAGTTTTTTTTCCAGCATTAATTATATTAGTAGGGTCAAAATGACGTTTTCTCAAAAGGCATGACTTTGTTATACATGTACCAACATTCACAATGGATTTAAGTTTAATTTTAAAACAGTGTTAATTGTTGAATTATTCTGCCGGAATTAGCCATCGATTATCAATGTCTACAAGAATTGGTACAAGAAAACTGTAATTACAGCCAAAAAAAGTTGAATGTAAAATAAGTAGGGATTCATCAGATTTCATTTACTTTTACGTATATTGCCGAATATAACCGAACATTACCGATGCTTATTTACAGGGCGTAGACAAGTTTGTTCCCGTCCATAATATGTACCTGGAACCATCGGCAGACTGGGAGGTATTTGAGGATGACAACGACGTATACTTTGTTTATTCAAATGCCAAAGGGAGAAAATCACAAATTCTGAAAGCTAAATTTAGATACATTTAATGATACACCATTTGACATTTACATTTTTTGCGTACTGTAAAAATCCATTTGTGCAATATTTTTGGGCAGAACTGTATTTAAGATGTAAATAAATTAAGTTGTAAATATTTGTATTGAATGTAGGAATTTTTATTCATTTTGTAGAATTTTGAAACAAAAAAAATAAAGCCAGTATACATGTACAGCCTTGTTTTTATTTGTAATGTACTTTTAAAACATCCAAGACAATTCAGTCTATAGCTACATTTATTAGAGTGACATTTTGGGATTTTTTTTTACAAGTCTGTCTGATTTTCCATGGTTAACCTTTCCAAAATTGCTCGTTCAGAACGTTTTCTCCCCGATTTTCCATAATTAACCTTTTCAAAATTGCTCGTTCAGAACGTTTTCTTTCTATCCCCCCGGGGTTTTAAGAATTACATTTCGAATTAAATAGTAGAATAAGATTAAGCCAGTATGTAAATAAAATGACCTTGATCTTGATATTTTTTTTCCGCCAAAGGTCACCACAGTTTGCTTGACGTAATGTGTTGATCATCTGTATGCGCATTTCTTAACTTCATACTAGATACATGTACATAAATATTCCTGCTAGTGTATCATTTTTTTTTATTATAATGACATTGTCAAGCATATGATACTCTTTTATCCGGGCATTTCTTACTTTTTTGCGCCATAATATTTTGGTCTTGAAATACATTTCGAAGATCTTATTTTAAATACATGTATATAAAAAAAGCCAAATCCATCCATCCATTCATCCATCCATCCATCCATTCAGAAAAATATTTTTTTTTAAATGCCACGTCATACAACGTTATCTTAAGATAAAATAGGTAACACTTTGGTTTTTCAGAATATGAAAGACGTGCCTATTTGGTCAAGGAAAATACAAATTACAGGCCATACAGGTTTCGAAATGAGATCAAATAGGTCACGTTTTGGTATTAATTTTCTGACTATAAAATTCTATTTCGATTTATGTTTGTTTGTTTTGCACCTACCCCCCCCCCCCCTTATATCTACAAAGTTTAAAGATTCGTAATTTTGTGAAAAATACTTATACTATTATTATTTTAATGATTTGATAAGAAGCCGATAATTTTTTTTTATAAAAGCAATTGACCATGCCAAAAATCAGTTAATAAAAATTTAAAGTTTATGTGTAATTTCTTATCTTTTGCTAAAGTAATTAAGACACTCAGACTTATTACATGCTAACTGGACATTTAGAATGAAAGCAATAATGTGCAAAATTAGCATTACCAGAAACAACACTAACAACAACAACAACAACAATAACAACATCTAAATATACTACTGACATTTTTTCTTTTTATCTTTAGCAACACTTACTGATTGAAATTAGATATAACGAATGCTTGCCGTTGTTACATGTACATAGAGATTACTTTATTTTTCAGCTTTCATTACATTTAATCAGGATGAAAAACCGCAGTCGCAATATAGGTACTTCCTAAAATAATGACGTCACAGTGGAAAAGACAGACGCGTTGCCGAAAAAGGCGAGAGCGGCTTCGGGTTATTACGACTTTTCCCGACATAACTAGATATTTACCGATTCTTTAGTGTTCTAGTTTTCTTAATCCTTAACATTAAAATGGAATAGACCAGTTCAAGGGCGATCTTGTACTTATATTTATCATATATGTTTACAAAAATAAAAAAAATGATATCAGCGAAACCCTTGCAGAGCAATCTTCTTTTCACAGATATAAGTACTACGCTTTGAAGTATTCGGTTATCGACATCGCTAAAAATATCATTTTCATTGATAAAAATGATATTCATCCGCGTAATTTGTGATTGTGCGTTTATTGATAATTCTATAAGCCAACGCTACTTTTAAACTTTGAATATGTTGTAATTTGTTGGATACTTGTAACAAAATAAAACTATATTTTTCTTTTACATCGCTAGTTTTAAGCTGTTTTGAGAACTACCTGTTGTTAGGTTTGTCGTGAATATCTGTGCAAGAGATTGAATGTCAGCATTGTATTTCCTGATCTGCGATCAGAAAATACAAACAACGATATCAATTATTCTTAAAATAATATTTCACAATGAATTTAACACCTAATGACCAAATTCTTTGACTCCCAAATTTGTGTTGCTCTGCGAAGGTTTTACATTATTACACATGTTTAAGCGGCAAACACACATTCATATTACAATGTATAAGCATCTTACAGTTCAGCGGAACATTTTTTGTGTTTACGCCAAGTGCGTATATATAAGCCAATCTAACCCTTAACCTGCGGCAGTACTGGTTTAAAGGATATGCTCGTTTTTTGGATTTGAAAGAGTTGTTTCAAAGTTGGAAGGATTTCAATATCAAAAAGGCTACCAATAGTAGTGGGCCTGTTCAGATTATAAGGTGTACAGGATGACCTAGAATCTTTACTGGTGGTAAAGGCGAACCACTGTCCGGTTTCCAGCAGGTTAAGGGTTAATATTCACTTTTTAAAATTCGCATAAACTAAGATGAAGATAATCACAGTTGTCATCATGCCAGGTCCATTGAGAGGGATAATGCAGTATGATACAGTCTTCCCCCGATAGCGCATTCGGTTCGCCGTCTGCCCAGTTCTCGTAATTGTCACCGGTATATGTCGAGACCGTTGCCATACCGGTAGATGTCATGGCCACAGTCGTGTTGTCCTCCCAATAAATTACACCATCACTCCGTCGGGATGCTCCTATCCAAAAATTACTGGTGTACGCTGAAATAATATTCATACAATTAAATGTAGAAACGTTTTCAAATTATGCAAAAAAATGCAAAAAACATTAAGTGACCTATATGAATAAAGTGACTATATCAAGTGACATTATGCTCATTTCGGCTGAATTGCCTATATATTTTAAATGATCGACTATTAAAATGGTGATTTATAGGGAAATGTTTCGGATATAATATTAATCTGTCTGTAATATAAATAGACTGCCACACTCTTTTTATACATTGAAGTAAATTCCGATCAATATTTACAGAAATTCATTGGGTCATGTGCATAATCTATCGTTTTCGCGGAGAAAGGTATTAATTTGAAAGGAATACTTATCCTGAATTTCGCCTGCTCACTCACAATATACCCTTAGATGGGCATATTGTCATAATGGTTCGTATAAACGTGTCGCTCCCCTATGGTGATTTATCAATTACAATTGACAGTGGTTGTGGTGTTGGTAGTTTTTCCGGACCTCGGTAGTAAGCCACATTGAATTTACAAGAGCACAGTTGGATAACCGCATCGTTCCTGGACTAGCTATCAAGCAGTTTACCAGTACTAGTTGCTTTCACTTTCGCCAGGAAGAGGTTACTTCTGTACAGTGCTAAGGACCCTAGAAAGGATTTCATGATCAATCACAACGAAAGTGTCCTGCGCCGTGCGGGAATCAAATTAGAATGAGAGAGAGAGAGAGAGAGAGAGAGAGAGAGAGAGGGAGGGAGAGAGAGAGAGAGAGCATGGGAATTAATCTGGTAACCAGTGAATAACTTCAATTTCCACGTGTATTATCTATAATAATTTTAACAATGAGTGGGATATTTGATATAACACGAAACGAATTACCTCCAATTACTTGCCGCTCGATAAAATTCTGTTCATCAAATGAATTTATGTACGCTAAATGTGCTCCGATCTCTTGACAGTGTGCCTTAAAAATAATGTAGTTATTATTACATGTGTAATGTTAATAAGACTGTTATATTAGATTGAGGCCAAGCCCCATAACACGGCCATGATGAAAACACTTAACTATAATTATTTAATTAACTACACATAATCTAAAAAAGTTAAGTACTTAGTGAACAAAAATAGGTAATGTAAAATTTCGTTGTTAGGTATTGCAAATGAGATTCTTGTTTTAAAAATGTCTCGGAAACCTACCTTACACCAATTCAAAATGGCGACTTTTTATTCAATGAAAAAAAAAAAAACAAAAACAAAAAAATAAACTGATTCATAATGGCCGAGCTGGGGAGCCAATCAAAATTCTCAAATCGCATAAAGGCCGTACTTTTTTCATAATGGCCTTTTTTATATTCAAAATCTGCGCTGAACTTCATATAATCCTCAAGTTTGAATTGATATTGAAAAGTTAATTAACAAAGAAAAGTAAATTAGTACTAAAAATTTTAGTTATACATTGTTTTGATTGTGCGCCTTAAAGATGCTTTCATTTAGATTTTTTTGAGTACCCAGTTTTGAGTACAGTTTCCAAAACGGCCGGTACGAATTTGCCATAAAGCCGAACAATTTAGTATCTTGCTCATCCAGCGCTTTTTTATAATAAGAATCTAGCATGCTGTAAATCTATTTTTTAAACATTTTAAAACGTGGGATTGCCTTTTGCAGAATGATGTGTATTCAAACACTAGTATTTACAAACTGTTATGAAATTGACAGTCCTTAAATCTTATTTCAAAGAATCTGTATCCATTTAATGGCAATTACGAGCGTATTCTGAGAACAGTAACATGTAAAAAGTAAAAGTAATGCTTGAAATGATTTAAATAAAAGATCCGAATAGAGGTACTCACCTTCGCTTGGTCATATGTCTTGAATTCAGTAACCACCGTATACTCTGAAATGAAATAAAATTATTTTTATTCAGCTTTTAAATATATCCAATCATGCAATAGCCGATTTTATAAATCCTATTTCTAACGTTTTTACCATAGGATATGTTACAGGGGTCATATGACGTTCTTTGTTGCTTACTTTACAATAATTATTAATACATATAATTATGCAACTTAAAGTATAAACTTAAACTTCATTTATACTAGGAAAGAGCGCAGCAAATAACTGCAAATAAGTGTTGCGGCGTGGTCGAGTGGTTAACTTGCCGGACAGTGATTTAAGGGCTATTAATCGCATGGGTTCGAAAAGCCGTTGTTTCCACGAGTAAGAAACTTTACCCTCATTGCTTATTACTGGTTTCAGGAACGGATTCGAGAGTGTTTAAATAAGCTTATAGATTCCAACACCATCACACCAAAATAAATTAATATAAACTAAACTAATGCGTTGTAGTAAAATGTACAGTATTTTCCACACAGTCAAGAAAGTGTAAGAATTCTAAAAAAATAAAATAACACCGATTTTGAAATTATTGCTAAGTTATGTTTTAAAGATGACGTAATGACTTACTATGGTGAAAATATAATATAAAAAACATTCCATGTATCAATTGGTTTGTACCAGAAGAGTGCAAGACTCTGCAACCAACACAGTGCTGGCGAACTTTGTCGTGGAACACGGCAAAACACGAGGAATTATCAGCACAAAGCGACAGGCATTGTATTTTTCTCATGCTCTCTTCATGGAAAAGCTGATCCTGTATCGAACAGACTATCGAGTACAAAACAACATTCTGCGTGAATTTCCTGAAGGTTTTGTCAGCTCGAACAATATTTCCCATAATGAAAAGAAAACTCAAGATTAAAGTTAAGCGTTTTGTCTCCATGATGACTGCGTGAACTGACTGCCAACAAGCCAAGTGCGCATCACTAAATATATTGTCGTCTGCTTTGTACGAAAGACAGGTAGGGCCATTTCAACTTCATGAATTCCCGTGTTCATCTTCATGAATTCAAAATTTAAACTTCGTGAATTCCCGTTTTCAAAATACGGAATTCACGAATTCATGATTTCAGCTTCGTGAATTCACGACTTCAACTTAACGAATTCACGATTTCAACTTCATAAATTCACGATTTCAATCTCGCGAATTCGCGATTTCAACTTCATGAATTCACGATTTCAACTTCACGAATTCAACTTCATGAATTCACGATTTTAACTTCATGAATTCACGATTTCATCTTCCCGAATTCAACTTCATGAATTCACGATTTAAACTTCATGAATTCACGATTTCAACTTCATGAATTCACGATTTCAACTTCCCGAATTTAACTTCGTGAATTCACGATTTCAACTTCATGAATTCACGATTTCAACTTCATGAATTCACGATTTCAACTTCATGAATTCACGATTTCAACTTCATGAATTCACGATTTCAACTTCATGAAGTTGAAATCGTGAATTCACGAAGTTGAATTCGTGAAGTTGAAATCGTGAATTCATGAAGTTGAAATCGTGAATTCGTGAAGTTGTAATTGATAATTCATGAAGTTGTAATCGGGAAGTCATGGAATCCCCATCGGTCTTTCGTAGCTTTGTCTATAAATTAACTTCGTTAACATTTATTAACCAGTGCTTATTTGGGAGGTTATCTATATAAAAATCAAGTAGTGAAGTGATAATACTATACATTTGGGAGATGATTTGCTATCACTTCATATAATTACGAAGTTTGTTATGCACAATCATTTATAATACATGCATTTCAAATAATATGGAACCGACTGCGCAAAATGTACGGCATTAAATATGAACAATAGGAGCTTTGTTTTGACAAAACACCTAGAATATTGAATGACGACATGCATTAATTCTGATTACATTAGATGTTAACATGCAAAATAATATGTTGCAATATTTAATTGATTTGCCAAGTTTTGACTTTGGAATAGTACATTCAAAGTTTTAGCGATTTTAATATTATTATAAGTAGTAGTTTTAAATATCATAACTAATCGGAAATTTTAAAAATGTACTATTTACAACAAAATATATTTTAAATATATATGTATTTAACTTAAAACTCTTAATGTTTGTGGCGCCGATAAGCTAAAAGTACTTTGAGAAGTCTCAGTTATATTAAGTTGGACACATGCCGTCCTGTCGGGGACTTTCCCATATAATATTTAACATTAAAATTGGACCGATACAATCACAAATCATTTTTAGTAGGATTTCAAAATTCAGAAGTGTCTTTGGCTTTCCGGCAGCTGCGTCACTATGCGAATGAGGCTACAATTTCAAAGTCGAAGGAATCTATGGCCACCAAAATGTTGTTCGAGTGATTTACGAGTATGTATGTTGTTTCTGTTGTTAACTACCCATGTAAATGTTGTCCAAATTCCCATTCAATTCTTTAGAGATGTCATGATACGAAAATTTGTAAAACACTTCAATAAGATTCGTCCTTCAACTGGTACAATGTATGAAAGGACTGCATGTTCTGCGTGCCATCGCTCCTGCACACAAAAGTGCTACTGAATCTTCTTTTTTTGCGCTAAACAACGAGTAACTGCCCTTAAACATACACCGACTTGATACCTTGTAACCTTTCTTCTTTTCTAGACTGAAAAAGATCCCGTATTAACGTCATGCTAAGTATCCAACTCATACATTGAGGCGCTAGTATGACGTCATTTTTAACAGAAAAGAATGATTAATCGAGCACTGATGTAAACACAATCAAATCCAGTCCGACACGTTAGTTTTAATTGTTGAAATCTTGATAAAATATTTTTTTATTATTATTATTTCTTTTATTTAATGATTTCTTTATCTTAGCAACAAAAGGGTGCGAAATCTAACTGCGTAATACAAAAATCGGCACCAGAAGTACATGTAATCTCTTCTGGTTGGCATTTTTACATATTCTTAACGGAACGCTTAGCCTGGTTATAGCTTCAGGGTATCAAGTCAAGCTGACTAAACCGTCGATGTTCGGCGTTTTAGATGTTCTTAACGGTAAAGCGAACCCGGTTCAAGCCTCAGGGAATATACTTAAGCTGACCAAACCCACGGTGACAGGACTTTTGAGATGGAAAATCATGCCCAGTTCTAACCTTCTGGAATAAAGTCAAGCTGACCAAACCGACGTTGATAGGCCTGTTTAGGTTTTCTTAACGGAAAGCGAGCCCGGTTCTCGCCTCAGGGAATAAAGTAAAGCATTCCAAACCCACTGTGATAGGCCTTAATAGATGTCCTTAACAGAATACCGTAACTGTTTTCATCCATTGCGAATAAAGTCAACATGACAAAACCAATTGTGTTAGGCCTTCTTAGATGTTCTGGACGGAAAACCATGCTCGGTTCTAGTCTCTGGGAATAAAGTCGACCTGATCAAACCGACGGTGTTAGACCATATAAGATGTTATTAACAGAAAACAAAGCCCGGTGCTGGCCTCATGGAATAAAGTCAAGCTGCCCAAACGCACGTTGGTAGTCCTTTTTAGATGTTCTAAACGGAAAACCATGCCTGTTTCAAGCGTTTGGGAATGAATTCGTTCTGACCAACCCTCGGTGATAAGCCTTTTAAGTTGTTCTTTAAGGAAAACCAAGACCGGTTCTAGCCTCAAGGAATAAGTCAAGCTGACCGAAGCCACAGTGATATGCCTTTTTGGAATATTCTGAACGGAAAACCAAGCCCAGTTCTAGCTATAGGGATGAAGTCAAGGTGACAAAACTAGATTGCCCTAAACGGAACTGCACACCCGGTCCTAGCCTGAGAGTATAAATTCAAGCTGACCAACCCGAAGATGATAGTCCTTTTTGATGTTTTTGACGAATAAATTCATGCTGACCAAACCGACGGGGATAGGCCTATTTATGTTCTTAACGAAAAACCAAGCCCGGTTTCTTGCCTAATAGAATTTAGACAAACTTAATGTTCAAACCCGTTGCTATAGGCGTTTTTAGATGTTCATAACGGTAAACCATGACCAGTTCTAGCTATAGGGTATAAAGTCAACTTCACTGTCAAGCTGTCAAGCGGTCGAAGCCTGAGGGACTAAAATACAGATGACAAAATCAACGGTGATAGGCCTCTTATGATGGTCTTAACAGAAAACCAAGACCAGTTCTGCCATAGGGCATAAAGGCAAGCTGACCAAACCCATGGTGATAGGCCATTTTAGATGTTCTTAACGGAAAGCCATTCCCTGTTCTAGTCTTTGGGAACAAAGTCGACCTGACCAAACCCACGGCGATGGACCATTTAAGTTGTTATTCTTAACGGAAAACCAAGCCCGGCTCTAGCCTCAGGAAATGAAGGCAAGCTGACCAAACCCACGGTGATAGGCCTTTATAAATATACTGAACGAAAACCATGCCCGGTTCTAGTCTTTTGGAATGAAGTCGACCTTACCAAAGCGATGTTCATAGACCATTTTAGATTTTCTTAACGGATCACGATGCCTGGCTTTAACCTCAGGGAATAAAGTCAAGCTGACAAAAGGCACGGTGATAGAACTTTTTGGATGTTGTTAACGGGAAACCATGCCTGGTTATAACGTTTGGGAATGAATTCAACCTGATCAAACCCACGGTGATAGGCCTTTTATATGTTCTAAACGGAAAACCAAACCCAGTTCTAGTCTAAGGGAATAAAGTCATGCTGACCAAACCCAAGGTGATAGGCTTTTTAGGTTGTTCTTTACGGAAAACGATGCCCGGTTCTAGCTTCAGGGAATAAAGTCAAGCTGACCAAATCTACCGTGATATGACCTTTTTTTAGATATTCTGAACGGAAAACCAAGACCGGTTCAGCCTCAAAGAATTAAGTCATGCTGACAAAGCCCACGGCTATAGACCTTAAAAGATGTTCTGAACGGAAAACAAAGACCAGTTTTAGCTAAAGGGAGTAAAGTTAAGGTGACCAGCCCACGGTGATCGGCCTTCTCAGATGTTCATAACGGAAAACCATGCCCGAATTTAGCTATAGGAAAAAAAGTCAAGTCGAACAAGCCCACGTAGATAGGCCTTTTAAATTGGTCCTGAACAGAAGACCACTCCCGGTTTTAGCCACAGGGAATAAATTCAAGCTGACCAAACACACTGTTATAGGCCTTAGATGCTCTTAACGGAAAATCAAGTCAGAACAAGAGAACAGAGTCAGGCTGACCAAACCCACGGTGATTTGCCTTTTCTGATGTTGTGAACGGAAAAAATCCAGTTCTAGCTATAGGGAAAAAGTCAAGGTGACCAAACCCAAGGTGATAGGCCTTTTTAAATGTTCTTAACGGAAAACCATACCCTGCTCTAGCCTTTGGGAACAAAGTCGACCTTACCAAACCGACGTGATAGACTATTTTAGATGTTCTTAATGGAAAACCAAGCCCGGCTCTAGCCCCAAGCAATAAAGTCAAGCTGAGCAAACGCACGATGATAGGCCTTTTTAGTTATTCTTAACGAAAAACCATGTCCGGTTGTAGCATTTTGGAATATAGTCAACCTGACAAAATCCACTCTGATTGCCCTTTTTAGACTTTCTTCACGGACAACTAAGCCCGGTTCTAGACAAGGAGAACAAGAGCCATGTCAATATGGCCATACCACGCCGAATGTGTTTGCTCATTGGAAGAATGTATATGTAGTAGAGCAGAATAACTCCATTTTAAGAGGTCTTTTGGTAATGAAAACTGATGGCTATAGTGATTACAGATTTGAAACCTATGTGAATACTGATGGCTGAAAATAACAAAGGGCAATAACTGAAAAATAATGCAGGGTAGGTTATCATTCTTGTGTGCTGCATCCCTCCTCAGTAAAATCTATCCACCTATGAAGTTTCAAGTTGATACCTCAAATACTTTTAAGAAAAGAATTGAATT